GAGCCGGGCGAGAGGGGCTTCCGCAGGCCCTGCTTCTGGGCCGCAGTGGGGATGGCTTGTACTCGGCGCTCCAGGACGGGCGGCCACCTTCCTCTTCGGCGTCCGAGGTGTTTCTGCTGCTGCGCTCCTCACGGGCTCCCCTTTCTCTTTCAGACGGAGGACCCCAGTAAATGCAGCCCTCGGTTCTGGGAGGAGCTGTTCCTCATGAAGGTACCGCCTCTTCTCTTTTGGTCCCCCTTGTTTCTTTGCCCTGGGCTGGGGCAGGTTCTCAGTCCCGGGGCTCCCCCGCCCCCTGCCGTGGGTCTCCACTTCCTTCCAGCAGCTGGCTGAAAGGCATTTGCTGGCCCTGGCAGGTGAACCTGGAGTATCTGGAAAGCAAGCTGGAGTCTCTGGATGGAGAGGAGCTGATGAAGATCAAGGAGAACATCAACTGTCTGTTCCAGCACTGCATCCAGGCCTTGGGGGAGGAGCACCCGATCCGAGTGGTCAATGCGCTGCAGGTACCCGCGCGGCGGGCTGGGGAGGCGGGAGGGGAGCACCCGATCCCAGTGGTCAATGTGCTGCAGGTACCCGCGCGGCGGGCTGGGGAGGCGGGAGGGGAGCACCCGATCCCAGTGGTCAATGTGCTGCAGGTACCCGCGCGGCGGGCTGGGGAGGCGGGAGGGGAGCACCCGATCCCAGTGGTCAATGTGCTGCAGGTACCCGCGCGGCGGGCTGGGGAGGCGGGAGGGGAGCACCCGATCCCAGTGGTCAATGTGCTGCAGGTACCCGCGCGGCGGGCTGGGGAGGCGGGAGGGGAGCACCCGATCCCAGTGGTCAATGTGCTGCAGGTACCCGCGCGGCGGGCTGGGGAGGCGGGAGGGGAGCACCCGATCCCAGTGGTCAATGCGCTGCAGGTACCCGTGCGGCGGGCTGGGCAGGCGGGAGGGGAGCACCCGATCCCAGTGGTCAATGCGCTGCAGGTACCCGCGCGGTGGGCTGGGCAGGCGGGAGGGGAGCACCCGATCCCAGTGGTCAATGCGCTGCAGGTACCCGTGCGGCGGGCTGGGCAGGCGGGAGGGGAGCACCCGATCCCAGTGGTCAATGCGCTGCAGGTACCCGTGCGGCGGGCTGGGCAGGCGGGAGGGGAGCACCCGATCCCAGTGGTCAATGCGCTGCAGGTACCCGTGCGGCGGGCTGGGCAGGCGGGAGGGGAGCACCCGATCCCAGTGGTCAATGCGCTGCAGGTACCCGTGCGGCGGGCTGGGCAGGCGGGAGGGGAGCACCCGATCCCAGTGGTCAATGCGCTGCAGGTACCCGTGCGGCGGGCTGGGCAGGCGGGAGGGGAGCACCCGATCCCAGTGGTCAATGCGCTGCAGGTACCCGTGCGGCGGGCTGGGCAGGCGGGAGGGGAGCACCCGATCCCAGTGGTCAATGCGCTGCAGGTACCCGTGCGGCGGGCTGGGCAGGCGGGAGGGGAGCACCCGATCCCAGTGGTCAATGCGCTGCAGGTACCCGTGCGGCGGGCTGGGCAGGCGGGAGGGGAGCACCCGATCCCAGTGGTCAATGCGCTGCAGGTACCCGTGCGGCGGGCTGGGCAGGCGGGAGGGGAGCACCCGATCCCAGTGGTCAATGCGCTGCAGGTACCCGTGCGGCGGGCTGGGCAGGCGGGAGGGGAGCACCCGATCCCAGTGGTCAATGCGCTGCAGGTACCCGTGCGGCGGGCTGGGCAGGCGGGAGGGGAGCACCCGATCCCAGTGGTCAATGCGCTGCAGGTACCCGTGCGGCGGGCTGGGCAGGCGGGAGGGGAGCACCCGATCCCAGTGGTCAATGCGCTGCAGGTACCCGTGCGGCGGGCTGGGCAGGCGGGAGGGGAGCACCCGATCCCAGTGGTCAATGCGCTGCAGGTACCCGTGCGGCGGGCTGGGCAGGCGGGAGGGGAGCACCCGATCCCAGTGGTCAATGCGCTGCAGGTACCCGTGCGGCGGGCTGGGCAGGCGGGAGGGGAGCACCCGATCCCAGTGGTCAATGCGCTGCAGGTACCCGTGCGGCGGGCTGGGCAGGCGGGAGGGGAGCACCCGATCCCAGTGGTCAATGCGCTGCAGGTACCCGTGCGGCGGGCTGGGCAGGCGGGAGGGGAGCACCCGATCCCAGTGGTCAATGCGCTGCAGGTACCCGTGCGGCGGGCTGGGCAGGCGGGAGGGGAGCACCCGATCCCAGTGGTCAATGCGCTGCAGGTACCCGTGCGGCGGGCTGGGCAGGCGGGAGGGGAGCACCCGATCCCAGTGGTCAATGCGCTGCAGGTACCCGTGCGGCGGGCTGGGCAGGCGGGAGGGGAGCACCCGATCCCAGTGGTCAATGCGCTGCAGGTACCCGTGCGGCGGGCTGGGCAGGCGGGAGGGGAGCACCCGATCCCAGTGGTCAATGCGCTGCAGGTACCCGTGCGGCGGGCTGGGCAGGCGGGAGGGGAGCACCCGATCCCAGTGGTCAATGCGCTGCAGGTACCCGTGCGGCGGGCTGGGCAGGCGGGAGGGGAGCACCCGATCCCAGTGGTCAATGCGCTGCAGGTACCCGTGCGGCGGGCTGGGCAGGCGGGAGGGGAGCACCCGATCCCAGTGGTCAATGCGCTGCAGGTACCCGTGCGGCGGGCTGGGCAGGCGGGAGGGGAGCACCCGATCCCAGTGGTCAATGCGCTGCAGGTACCCGTGCGGCGGGCTGGGCAGGCGGGAGGGGAGCACCCGATCCCAGTGGTCAATGCGCTGCAGGTACCCGTGCGGCGGGCTGGGCAGGCGGGAGGGGAGCACCCGATCCCAGTGGTCAATGCGCTGCAGGTACCCGTGCGGCGGGCTGGGCAGGCGGGAGGGGAGCACCCGATCCCAGTGGTCAATGCGCTGCAGGTACCCGTGCGGCGGGCTGGGCAGGCGGGAGGGGAGCACCCGATCCCAGTGGTCAATGCGCTGCAGGTACCCGTGCGGCGGGCTGGGCAGGCGGGAGGGGAGCACCCGATCCCAGTGGTCAATGCGCTGCAGGTACCCGTGCGGCGGGCTGGGCAGGCGGGAGGGGAGCACCCGATCCCAGTGGTCAATGCGCTGCAGGTACCCGTGCGGCGGGCTGGGCAGGCGGGAGGGGAGCACCCGATCCCAGTGGTCAATGCGCTGCAGGTACCCGTGCGGCGGGCTGGGCAGGCGGGAGGGGAGCACCCGATCCCAGTGGTCAATGCGCTGCAGGTACCCGTGCGGCGGGCTGGGCAGGCGGGAGGGGAGCACCCGATCCCAGTGGTCAATGCGCTGCAGGTACCCGTGCGGCGGGCTGGGCAGGCGGGAGGGGAGCACCCGATCCCAGTGGTCAATGCGCTGCAGGTACCCGTGCGGCGGGCTGGGCAGGCGGGAGGGGAGCACCCGATCCCAGTGGTCAATGCGCTGCAGGTACCCGTGCGGCGGGCTGGGCAGGCGGGAGGGGAGCACCCGATCCCAGTGGTCAATGCGCTGCAGGTACCCGTGCGGCGGGCTGGGCAGGCGGGAGGGGAGCACCCGATCCCAGTGGTCAATGCGCTGCAGGTACCCGTGCGGCGGGCTGGGCAGGCGGGAGGGGAGCACCCGATCCCAGTGGTCAATGCGCTGCAGGTACCCGTGCGGGCCGGGGGGGCGGGGGGACGGAGAAGGGCTGCTGGGACACCAGGCTGGGAGCTGCAGTGTACTGCACGAGAAGGTCTCCCTTCGCCCCACCTGCTGCCTGCCCCCTGCCTGACTCCCCCCAGCCTCTGTGGAGAAGGCCGGCTAGGATCCGTACAAGCACCGTGCTGATAGAGCAGGACTTGGCTGAAGAGGCGGCCCCAGTCCGGCTCCCTGCCTTGGAACCATTTGGGGTTTTAAAGGGATTGCTCATCCCAGCGGGAGGGGCTGCCCCATGGCAGAGCTCTCCTCTGGGCCCAGCGGCTCGCTTTTGTGGTGCTTCTCTCGCCCGTGGCCGTGCGGGGCACCCTGCGAGCAGAGGGCGCTGGTGGAGGCGCGGGAGTGGCTGCCCGCACGAGGGAACACGCGTGGGGAGGGGCAGAGTTCGGACGGGAGGGGACCGGGCGC